CACTCTTTCTTCTGCATTTAATTAAATAACTTTAATGCAGCACTGAAAAATGTCTGAGTTCCAGAGTCACTGATATCTGTCAGCCTATATAACTAAAAAATGGCGACAGTAAGATAATTTTACCACAACATATTTTTTTCTTATAGTTAAAATGTTGACGAGCAAAAAGCGGAAGCTGTCTGTGCCGATAAATAGTAACAGTCCTGAAGTTCATGCAGTGTTTTCGGACTGTTGCACCGTCATTTAATGTAACCAAGAAGCAGATATGAAGAGAAAGCGACTCAGAGGTGACGTGAAAGCAGCAAAATGCCTCTAATGTCATTACACTTTGCTTTCTGAAAGCCAGTCGCATTAGGAGACATCCTGTACTTTTCTGTAGGGGCTCCGCTGTGAGTGCGTGGAGCATCTCCGGTAAATGCGGACAGCCTCACCTGAGCGCGGTGATGCTCGGGGGACAAACGGGACCGCTCCTTCAGCCCTGTCTCCGCGGCTCCAGGCGTCCCTCGCTGCCAAACAGACTAAGCAGGGAGGGACAGTCACCTGCGGGGATGTCTGTTCGCTTTTCTTCTCTCACTTGGTTTCTGTATTTTTGGTTCTTCTTTCATTGCTGCTGTTTTTATATCAGCTGCAGCGACGCCGCACAAACAACCGAGCCTTCGTATTGGTCCGTGGCTAAGCTGAGAGACCACCCTCAACCAATCAGAGAACACCAATATTACATATGTGCGGTGTTTCCCAATGTTTTTGCTTCGTAGAATGACTGGATGTAGGGATAATTATCCGAACCAAAACAACTTTTAAATCAAAGCAAAAAAAAAAAAATTACACCCTATATTTAAAAAAAAAAATTACTAAATCTGAAAACTTCTACAAAGATCTCTGATTATTAAACACACCAAGAAAAACAAAGTTCTTCTATTGCACAAAAGTGATTTCTTTACTCTATAGACTCTGCAGCTAACTTTTGCTTATTTTTATTTTCATACTTTGAGAATCCAAAATGGTTTATATCTTTTTAGTTTATTCCGACACTTGTAAACATTTCCCAGTGCTGCTGCTGCCCACACTTGTAAACACTTCCGTGTGCTGCTGCTGCTAATACTCCCATCATCGTGTGAGTTGACACCCTGTTTACATCGCCTCTTCATACCAAAAGTGCAGTTCCTAGAAGTCAGGGTTCACATGTTCCGACTGAAAGGGAAGAGGGGGTGAAGACTTTGGGGCAGTAAGGGTGACATCTAGTGGCTACTTAATAAACAGGAAATTCAACACTGGAATACAAAAATATTATCCACACCCTTGATCCACACCAGTTCTTACAATACCAAGAACTGCAGCGTATTTTAGAGGGATTATGTGGAAGAACACCAATTACCACATACTTGCAAAGTGGAACAAAACAATTGTGGATTTCAATGTTATCTTTTTTATATTTATAATCTAAAAAAATGTCAGTCCTTTGTAGGACCACCATTTTTTGCAATCACAACCACAGCTGGAGTTTTTTTGTTGTTGTTGTTGTTGTTTGTTTTGTTTCTATTAGTTTTACACATAAAAGAAGGCAAAACAAAAGGATGCCACATTTTTCAGAATTAAACTTCTAAAGCAAATCAAATTTTACCTCCATATCATAATTTTGCACCGATATATTGACCTGTGACATAAAATCCCAGTCAGTTTTCTGAAAGTTGTAGAATGAACATGACAAATGAGAAACAGTTCATTTAGTGTGAATGCTTTTGCAGGTAGTGTAAGACAACCTTATATTCTGAATTGTGTTTATTTGTATATATTTTGTTATGCATTGTAAAACAAACTAAAATCTCTTTAATTACAAGATTTTACATTTTTGGATATAATGAAAAATGAACCAGTCTTTTTGATGACCAAAATAGAAGTCAATCCTTTGGTAAAACACAAATAAATACAGAAGAAGTGAATCAGAATTTATATAATCTTAAATAGCTGTAAAATAAATAAATAAATAAATAAATAAATAAATAAATAAATAAATAAATAAAAAAGCCTTAATATCACTCCATCACCATGCTTAAAAGTAAGTATAAAGTTCTGTTTCATGTGGTGTTGCTGTGATTAATGGCAACATAATTCAATTAAAGGCTTATCCGTCCTTCAGACATTGTTCCACAAGTCTTCTGATTTTTTTCAGATCAAACTTTCCAAACTAAAGTTGTGTTTACAGAAGTGCAAGACAACACCTGTCAGGACTGCAGCATAAAATTTGCACCATGCAATTTCCAAATTGGGCACCACTTAAGTTGAAATAAACAGACTTTTAGAAGGTATAAGATTCATTGTCAATAATCACTTTAATAACACGGAGTTTGTCCAGAATCAAAATAAAGATTCTGGATAAACTCAATGTATCAATGTTTTTGGAAGAGACGGAAGGAGTTTTGTTATTGCTTTTCTTGTCATGAAATGATTTGGCGCCCCCTTGTGCTGAGTATGTGCCCCGTGTTTTCTGTCGACAAGGGCAGCGGGGAACCTGACTGACCTTTCACCCCATTCAGCTTATAAGTCAGGGATCTGCAGACTTCAGAAACAAAGAAGGTGATTTTGCTCTAGTCCAATTAAATGAAACTCATTAAGAGCAGCGAAATGTTATGACCTTTTTTGTGAAAAGACAACGTTTTACTTCTACAACTTTAACTTTTTCAAAATGTTATTAAATGTTTATTACAGGAAAATTGGGGTCTTTTTAAATGGCTTAATTTTATTTCTGTTTTGGGGGTTTTAAAACAGACAAACATAAAATCTTAAAGAGAGAACTAGTACATTTTCTTCTAAAACAACTTGATAACGAGAAAAAAAATATTACTGCAAATTCAAAGCAAGATTTATTCTATGGGAAATGCTAAAAAAAAACCTGGTAAAATCTGCATTTGTTATATCTAGAGTTTTTAAAACATATATATTTATTCTGCACTTTTTAGCCAATACATTAAGAGCCATTGTAGAAGGTCCAAAGAACCATTTAATTAGACTTTGAACTTTGGTGTCTCAATCTCAGCAACTAAACTATTATCATTAAACAGTTTCACTAAGCTCCCAATTTTAAAATCTCAAATGGCTAAATAAGTAAAAATCCCCAAACACTCACCAGATAGTATTATTTTTAAAAATGTATTTATTCAAATTATAAGTATTATTTAGTGTGTTGGCATAGTTATACATTGGTTGTACAGTAAAATGAGCCTGAAAGCAGGAGTGTATCTATAAATCAACAAACAATGGACTTGGTTTGAATAAAGCTTGTACAAAGAAGCAAACCACAGACGGTCAGAGAGGGATTTATATCAGCCTGACTAAAAGAAGGCACATGAACACAAAGTTAAAAGCTTTTTTTCCCCCTCCCTCATCAAACCTCTCTCTACTTGAACCGCTCACTTAGAACAGACATCACAAACTGTACATCTACAAACCTCTCCCCACAGAGAAACAAACAGGACATTCATCACAGACACAATTTAGCATATTAATCATACAAGAAATCAACCAGATCTTTGGCTAATAAGTGCAGCGGCACAGTCTCATATCGTAGAACCATGATGCAGATGAAGAGTTCTTTCATGGAGTGAATTTTGGATAAAAAGTGAAATATATATATATATAGGCTATGTATATACTCTGAGATTGTTTGAGGAGTTTTTCACCACCAGTCTTTGGTCTAAACAAGGTCAGAGCTGGAGTTAGACAGCGTTGGTTGTTGCAGAACTGGTCTTCTGGGTGCCTGGGATTAAAAACTAGACAAATCCTCTACCTAAGACTCCAAGCTATGAATTTTTTGTGTTAAAGGCATCAGTATTTCTTCTCATTTCTTTTCTCTCCAGAGCAGCTGGACTGTTGTCATAAAAACTGTTCTAGTAAATATTTGTGTCAGCGTTGAGCCTGATGCTAACAGAGATGTTTATGCTAGCCTTCTTTTAAGAAGCTAAGCTAGCTACCTCTAGGATGTTCTGTAGATTTAGATTAACGACAGAGTGGCTTTATCAAATCTTCACCCAAAATGTGAAACTAATCCCTTAAAAAGAAAACATTTTTACAACATATTATCTTACCGGTGTTTTTGGTGTTTGTGAGAAGTTTAGCTAAAAAGTCCCTAAAGTCACAAAATATTGTCTGGAGCCAGAAATGAGGCGTTCTCTAGAAATATAGATACACAAGAAGAAAATGTGTCAAAATTAATTATCGCTGTTGTTTGTACACGTTGCTCAGACTCCAGCCAGATTAGACCAGTTCAGGTGTTGGATGAGGAGGACAGTGAGACTAAAGCTGCAATTTAACTTTTAGTCAAACAACTTTGTGAGAACAAATCTCCTCTCTGTTGAGTGCAAGAGTTTTCAGAGCTGTTAAAACAACTGATGAACTGTCCTAAAGAAATTAACCAATAAAAATAAAAACCAGGCTACAAGGTAAAACATGGCTGTGCTTTATCGTGCTTTTTTTTCCCACCGTTCTCTTATCCACATCTCACTTACTTTGGTCATCTTCATGCAGATTTTCAGCAAACTACAGCAGCTGTTTCTGTGTTCTAGGCCTACTGATGAATTTCTCTTCCTCATCTCTTTACCCTTCCTCATCCGCTTTCCATGCTTCCAGCCTTGATCTGTACACCTTCATAACAATAAGTTGTCTTCCCCAGAAAAGCAGAAATTAAGTGGTCCAAATTAGAAAGCAAATAATAAAAACAGCAACAGGTTACTCTGATCTTCTCCAGAAACTGTTCTCCTTGGTGTCTGAGTCTAGTCTGTCGCTCACTGTGTTCTCGCTCCTGAATAAAACCCATCAGCAGGCAAGGTGCAAGAAAAATTCACCAGAAATATTTGTTATTTCTTGGCCTTATGCATATATATATTTATATATATATATATATATTTATTTAAAAAATCAGAATATTCAAACAGCAAAAGTATTAATCTCAAAAATATTATATATAAACATAAATATATCAATTAGTTTAGCTAGATTTTTATGTGTTTTTTGGTTTAAAATTTTAATTGTATGCACAAGCCCGCAAATGTAGAGACAGGTGGCGTCTGATTGGCTAAAGCGGAGCGAGGTCTGCGTTTGTGTGATTGGAGGATGAGGAGCTTAGGGGGTTCCTGCTACGTCCGGTCAGGGTGGCCATCATCTGGAGTTCAGCCTCGGAGCCGTCTGGGGAACAAAAACGAAGTCAAAGGTCAGCAGGATGTGAATAAAGATTCTGTAGCAACAAAGAGTCAGATGCAGCTGGGAAAAAATGAGAGTACTTTTCTTTAAACATGAGACTGTCATACTTCTATAATGGGATGTAAACTGAAAAGAAAAATCCTCTCTCACCACAGACAAGTGTCCGTTCTTTGCCTTTTCCACGTGTAGTTCTGACCCGGGTGTGAAGTCTATGATCCCTTCTTTCCCATTACCTGCTGTAAACTTTATACTGCAGGAGCAAAACAGATAAATGGAGTTACAACAGTAAACAGAGAGGGCAAATGTACAATTTATTTTCTCTGCTACTATACAGAAAACATTCACACACACACACACGATGTGGTCACAAGTGAAACTCCAGGAAAATAAACGTGTGATCAAACTTGCGACCTATTCATTAGAGTCTTATTCTAGGTGTGGGACAATTTGAGAAAAACTGGAAGAATTTAAATCCTCCTGCAACCACTAGAGGGAGTTATTTTGATTTGTCATCAGAGGAAAACAGCATTCAGAAGGCTTGGTGTAAAACAATTCACAAGAAGTGAACCATTGTTAAGGTATAAAAGCTACATTATACTTTACTGGACAATTCTCACACAAGTTAAACACAGAAAAACAACAACAACAAAAATTCAACTGGAAATATGGTTCACATTTTGCAATGACATGGATTTTTGTGGTGTATCTTTAAGCATCATCAATCTGAGGAACTCCAACATTGACGAAGGCTATGTTTTGATTTTCTTATGGAGATGAAACTATCAATTCATAGCTGATCAATGCGCGTTGTGAACACACATTCAAAGCTAGTTCTGCCGTGTCTGTTCTGACTCCCACCTGCCCTGGTTGATGTTGATGCTGTTAATTTTGTCGGCACAGATGGCGATCTTGGTCAGGGTCTCGATCACATGGTCGCTCTGCAAAACCACGTCCCCCTGGGAGCCAACGGTCACACACACATTTAGCATTTTTACACAAATGAAAAGAGAAACATTCTCAGGAAGCTTTCTTGACTCGTCTTTGGTCGCACCTTTTGTTTGTTGTCCTCACTGGGCACGTGCAGAACAAACAAACCATCACTGAGAGAGCTGACCGAGATGCCTGAGACAACAATAATGACAATAAATAAGATCCTGGTTCAGTTTGATCATTTTCCATCTAATCCTCAGATTTATTTCTCTTTAGAGGCATTTCTCACCTTTCAGGGCTCCGTAATCGATGCGCTGTTTGAGTTTGCCCTCCTCGACGATGATGGCGCTGTTCGACGTGAGGAGCAGCTGCCGGGAGCGAGACTTGTAGCCCTTCCTGTCATACTTGGTGACCGGCACTGCGTACTGAGATTACAGCAGAGACACGTCAGCATAAAAGCAGAACGCTTCAGCAGTATGAAAAAAAATAAAGGCTTCACTAACCTTCATCTTCTCATTACCCAGAGCTTGTATTGCTTTGGGGTTGATGTCCTCTCCATCTGAGCAGCAACAGAAAAGGCGGAATTAGATCAAATACTGGATAAAAATCGGCATCGTCTGAATGTTGAAGTCTCACTGAGTCTTGTGCCGACAAACAGCTTGGGAACACTCTGTGGGTAGTTGTCCTTCTTGTCCTTGAAGATCTCGCTTGCGATCATTTTCTGCTCCATCTATTTATATACAAACCAGAGATGAGTGAGGCAAATTCAAAGAGCAGCACCAGGTTGTGACTGGTGACATTTCTCACCTGGTGTTTCCACTCAGAGTTGATCTTCTTGCAGTAACTCCACACCATGTTCTGCATGCACATCTTGCGCAGAAGCTCTGAAGCCTTAAGACACAGACAGGGTTTTCACAACATTGCATATAAGTGCCGTCTAAAAGAGCTCACCTCCCATAAACGTTCACATTTTGTCACATTACAAACACAGACTCCACTGTATTTTATTCATAATTTATGTGATAGACTAACACAGAGTAGTGCACACTATAACTTATCTGGTTCTTTTTAGTGGGCCATGTTTTGGTTGTTTAGTGGCTATAACATCGCAAAGTGAAAAAGTTCAAAGGGTATGAGGATTTCTGCAAGGCATTATAATCCAGATTCCCACCTCAGTCAGAGCAGCCGGAGGTGTGGGCCAGCTTTTGTCGAGGACGTTCTTGGGAAGGTTCCTGTGCAGATTCATGAGGAAGGAATAACGCACGTAGTCCAGGAAATACTCGTTCTCTGGACAGCGTTCTTTGTGGCGGTAGATGAATCCTTTGATAAACCTGAAGAAAATGAGGAAATCACGCTGTAATCACTCCAAATACCAAGAAGGCTTTAAAATAAGTATTCATCTTCCTTGCATCTGTTTTTACATCCTGACATACTGCTGTATTGTCTCATACCTGCGTATAGTGTTAGCTGCCTGTCGCCGGCGCTGGGCCTTCCTCCTCGCCAGGATGCCCCGCCACCAAGCCTGGATCGCAATGGCTGGTGGGGACAGAAAAAATAAATAAATAAATTCATTGGACCAATGACATTTAACTGCTGTTTAATGTAAAATTTCAATGTAGAAATGGTGGCTTCCTGACCTGAGGTCCTTAATTTTTGGTATTTGGTCTTCTGGCAGTAGCCTTTCCATCCCGCCTGTAGCTTGGTGGCTGTAAGGTAGGAAAGCGATTTAAATAAATAAAATAAAACTGAAAATGTTGATCAATCTCGACAGAACACCCTGTCTCTTACCAATGCCGTGTTTTCTGGTCTCCAGTGCATCCTCGGTGGCAAACAAAGTCTTTGGGAAGCGGATGAAGATTTTGGATCTGTTGCGTTTAGAAATTAAATGTTACTTTCTACTTTACATGAATAGCCGGAATACTTTGTAACAACACACACACAAAGTTCAGGTGCCAACAGTAACCTCTCTCACAGATTTCTGTGCAGCTCACCTTCCCAGTTTGTACTCCTCAGGCTTGTATCCCATGTGTTTGACAAGTGTGGACACACCATCAGACAGCTTTCCATTCCAGTTAGGCCATGTCTCTGGGCACAGGGACTTGTACCTAAACACAAAGAAGACAAAACACACAAACACCAGCATGGTTGTTCAGATGTGTAGCTTAACGGTTGAAGAGAACGTAGTGATGGTAAAGGTTTGCTTTTTAAAAAAGTCTCTTTGGTTGCAGGATCTTTAAAGGTGATCTATTATGCTTCCTTGAACAGGTTATGATATGCAAAAATGTTTATTACATTTTTTACACAAAATTATTCTAGGATATTGAGATTTTAGTTTGGTCAGTTCTGCCTACCCAGATAGCACAGAATGATTGAAACAACATTGAAT